TTCTGATAATATAAGCTGTGAGACTCGGTCCTCTTCTTCTCTACCTTTGTCTATGGTCAGACTACTGTTCATTGTGTGTGGAAGATGATGCATGACATGTACACATCTGCATAAGATGGTCCCCAGGACCCATGCAAAAAGGCCAGGGACAGATAGAGCACCATAAAAGCACTAAAACGTATATTTGGTACATCATACACACCTCAGAAATCTGTCATTTTCCAATCGCATGAGCTACGTACTGTAATGGAGAAAAGCACACCCTTGTGGACCACCTTCATTCTGTTCTCTTTTTGTGAAATGATTTCACATTGCAAACACCCCAAGTCCCGGTTCCAGAGTCCCAGTTGGTCCTGGTCCCACTAGGTCCCGGTACACTGAGTACCACACTAGGGTCTATAGGGTCCGGTAGTCCATAGGTTGAAGCTTCGCAGGTTGCATGGGGCCGGTAGCCAAAAGAGTCAGGCCGGTAAAAGTCCACTCTGGTACCTGACAAGAAAAGTCCAGGTCCCAAGTCCAATTTTTGCAGCATCATATCAGGAAAGTCTGGAACTTACCAGACCGACAAAATGATGCAGCAGCAGGGAGGCCAATCGCGGTCAAAGTTCCTATAGATGGCTGCTACAGTGCAGTGGCTCATCAGATTTCCATTCGCTGATTGTGTAAGTGCTGCTAGTGGCTTGTGCAACTGTGCAACCTGGGTACAGAGCGCCTGGAGGAGAAAGAAGGCAACTTGGATACTCCATAGCCTCCATCGCTAGGGTTGATTAGCGGAGGGTGGCCGCCATAGCCGCCGAGATTGACGACGAGTCTGAGCGGGTGTATTCAGGGTTACAATGTAGTGTAGTAGATAGTCTGAGGCTGAGCAATACAAAAGAGAGAGAGAGAGAGAGAGAGAGAGAGAGAGAGAGAGAGAGAGAGAGAGAGAGAGAGAGAGAGAGATGCACGCGGCGAGGGAAGAACATGAGAGAGAGAGAGGCAGAGAGAGAGAAATAGAGTCATATGTTAGGCCAGGGATTTGGGTACATAACTGCTGGGGATATTGGGAGTGTGGGGTGGTTCAGTCCGCTAGTTACCTGAACTCTCAAGTTCTCTCAAGTTTCTCTGATTCGGCTTTCCATATCACTGGTTTGGTGTGAAACTTCATGTGAGTTTTCATTGCTGCATGCCTGAGTGAGGGTGAATGTGGCAGTGGTTGATCGCATTGGTATTGGAGCTGGAACGCGCTACATTCGCTGGAGGAGTACTACATTGGCAAGGTACAAGGCCGGTGGATGAAATGGATTGGGGTTTGACCAGGAGTGAGGGCCAAAGGAGAAGGGGCGGGTAATGAGTGAGAGGGGCGCGTACCTGCATACGAGGAGCATCACCAAGTGGAGCTACTCAAGAGAGTGAAGTGCTTCTTACCAAGGCCCATGTGTTTTGGCATTTTATTTGTTGTCTTGGTACTTTCCCACAACTTTCTTGGTGAAACTCTGCAAATTCGTATATCTTGTTGATGTGCTGAGTCTCGAGTCATGTATGTTTGGTAAACCCGGCAGCTGGATGGCAGCAGGCTTAGGGTGTGCAGGCATGAGCCGCAGGCAACCAAACCTGTCTAGCCCTGAGACCAGTACTGACCTGCACACAACCAAACCCTGTGATGTGCAGTGAGGGGTTCAGGTCTGCCTGGGGTAGAGCTCGTTAAACAGCTGGAGGCATCACCTGTTAAGTAGGGAGCATGGGCTTAAGCAGGAGTAGTTTGTCAAACAACCACAATTCCGGAGGATGATTGCTGGCAGTTCTTAAATTGTGGGAAGGGAATTAGACTGATCAAACCTGAGATCTAGAGTCAGTAGGGTACGCAGTGACGATCAGGTCTAAGTGGTGAGAAGGTGGGGTAAACTTACCTTCATTGCCCTGTCCGTGATTTGGGAGCTGCTGCGCCGTTTCTGCTTCCCACTTGGATTCCACCGGACCTTTAGCATACCCGTGACTAAAAGATCCGGTACATCCACAGAACCATACCGTGAGGAGGAGAAAGCAATGGTGGAGCCAATATTAAGGCAGAGGAAGGGGGAGAGGAAGAAAGAAAAGGAGGAGGAGGTGAAAAAGACGATGGAAGAGGAGATGAGAAGGAAATTGGATGAAGAGATGAAGAAGATACAAGAAGAAGTGATTCTGGAAGAAGAGGGGGGTAAAGGAAAGGAGGGAGAAGTACAATCCGTGGTGCAGGAAGGGGAAGAAGCAGGGAGCAGCCAACCCCAGGCCCTCCACATCCATGTGCAGCATGATGATCCGCATGGTTAGCTGCAGCAGTTTGGATTCAGAAACGAGAGGCCGGAGGATGAAACCGAGGAGGAGGTGGCGAAATTTGAAGTCGCCTTGGCTGCTAAAGACCCTGATGAGAGAGCACTACTGGTAGCAGAAAGGGAAAGTGCGATCAATGCGAGATTGGTAGCACAAAAGAGGAAAGAGTTTCAAAGAAAAATGAAGCTGGGAGAGAAGAGGGAGGCTATTCAGTGAAGGTTAAAGGAGCAGGCAGAAAATCAGGCCGATGTTGATGTCAGACTAACACTCCTTACTGATGCTGCTGAACGCCTGGAAAATCATCATGAGGAATTTAAGGGTTCCTGGAACAAATTTAGCATTGCAACCCTCGATAACATTGATGATAAAACGGCCCATTATGCGAGTGAGAAGGTAATGTTACAAGGAAGATCTTGCACACCGTAGTGGAAGCTAGACCAGGTGGCAGAGGTGGAGGAGATCCAGATGGTGGAGATGGTGGGAAAGGAGGAGGAGACTGGAAGGGACACGTAGGGCATCCCAAGTGAAGTAAAGAGGGCCAAGACAAAGGTCAAGGTCCCACGGACCTACACGGGGAAGAAAGAAGAAAACTTCAGGCAGTGGGAATTAGCAGTTTTAACGTACCTGTGTCACAGTTAATCCCACCTTGTGATAAGGTGCTCATGGCAAGATCTTGTCTAGGGGGTGACACTGCAAACTATGCCATATCACTGGCTGCAGTGGCAAGTTGAGGTAGGAACATGGCGGAGTACTCTACACAGACCAATATAGAGGACTTCATGAAGGCCCCACTAGATAGATTTGAAGATAAGAACAAGGTAAGGCGGACAAAACATATGATTCTAGATATAGTGCAATGATCTGACATGCAATCGGCTCCAACGAGTTCAAAGTCAATAAAAAAGAACAGCATATTTATTATACAACTCTTTACAATTGTCTGGCCTCTTCTACTCTGGCCCAATCACAGTTTTCCTCGTTGCCTCCAAGCAGGCTCGTGTCGTCTTCTTCGTCAACTCAGAGCACTGGGCCACCATGGTCACACAAGCCATGCGCAACAGGCAACTCCTAATGAATCGTCAAGGTGCTGTGGCAGCTATCAATAGCTGCGTTGACTGGGTTTGTCGAGTTGGACCGGTACCGGTCGCTTGGGCCTGTGCGCAAGGAACTGCATTACCTTCCGGACAGTGCTCCTGCAAGATTGGGCTGCACAACTTCTGGACCCTTCTGCCGATACTAGGTCCAACCGGTGACTGCACAACTTCTG